TGCATTCTAGGGTGAGATTGATATTGGGTATTTGTTATTTGGGTTGATTTTGTGTTTCAATCTAGAATTTGTGGTTGCAAACATGAATTCAAGCTTAGCGGGTCTAACTCTTCTTGAGAGAGAGAGTCTTATGACCCTAAAAGTTAACCCAACAAGGAATTGGGATGGACCCATGAGAATGGTAGTCCCAATTAACAGTTTAAACCTCGAAAGAGTAATTACCTTACTTGAGCCCTAGTTGCCCGGTCTAATTGGCCTACCTAATTGGTCTCGAGAGAGTCAATTGGGCAAAATTGTTCTCTCTACCGAGAGGTGTGAGAATGAGTGCACTTGAGTAACGGCTATAGCACTAAACCCAAACTTATCAATCTCCCTTTAGTAGCTTCTACCCGTTAGCTAGCCACCTAGGTAGTGTCACAACCCTAGTGCCTTTTTCTCATATCATGCACAACTTAGCAATATTTCCTTAGCATAATTTAGCTTTAATTCTTAGGTTACAAAAGTAGTTTTAAATATAAAAACCCTCAAAAAATGCTAGGAATGCAATTAGAAGTACAAACTCATTTCTAAACTAAACCGGCAATACAACTCCATTCCAAGCTCCCTGTGGAAATTCGACCCCGATCCACTATTCGGGTATTAGTTATTGCAACCCACTCTTACTACCATTGTGTAGTGTTGAGACGGCCGCGATCAAGTACCTCTACCCTCCACCCGAATCTGACAAGCATGATACACGTATTCAGCTAACAAAGACTCTCCAACAGGAGTAGCAACTAGAAATGGATCATTCAATAGCTCGGGCTGTCTACTAAATCTCAAAGCAAAGTACTAGGACACATAGGAGTGAGTAGATCCCGGATCAATCAACGCAAGTGCATCAAATGAACAGACAGAAAGAATACCTTTAACCACTGCATTCGAGGCCTGAGCATCCTGTCTAGTAAATGCAAAACTCTCGCCTGACCTCTACCAGCATTGCCTTGTCCTTGATTCACAGTAGCACGGTCTCCAGCACCTCGACCTCTATTTCATGTAACTGTAGCACCTGAAGTATTACGAGCAGTCTGAGTCGGTGCAGCTGACTGAATAGAAGCCTGGTTGAAATTTCTCGGAGGCTGAGGGCAATCCCTCAAGTGATGTCCCAACTTGCCACACCGAAAGCACACTCCAGTTAGAACACGACATTGGCCCAAATGTGATCTACCACAAGTCTGGCAGACTGGAGTAGTGGCATATATCTGCCCAGCATTACGATGTCCAGAAGATGATAGTCCGTTATTACCTAGTCTATAATTTGGTCTGTATGTGGACTGTGAAGACATGTGTGTCCCTGTTTGAGAACCCTGTTGTTGTTGTTTTCCCTGATTTCCTGCTCTTCTATTTTCACTAAAACCACCACTGAAAGCCCCTCTTGTCTTGGCCTTCTTACGTAAATCACTAGTTGCACGCTCCTCACATCCCTTGTTTTCAATCTTTCTAGCAAGGTCGACTACATCAGAGTAGGATAAAGTCTTCATCTGTGGGGCTACTGCAGTGTATAGACGACCAACCAATCCATCAACAAACCTCTGAACTCGAGCTTCTTCGGTAGGCACTAAGTGAGGAGCATATATAGCCAGCTTACAAAACTTAGTGTTATATGTTGACACATCCATATCTGGAGTCTGAACCAATCTCTCAAAGTCTCTAGCATATTGTTGCATCAGACTGTCTGGAAGAGAATGATTCTTCAACAACTTAGTGAGCTCGTCCCATGTCAGTGGTGGTGCTCCTACTGGCCTTCCTAGCAATACCGTTTCATACCATGTGTTGGCCATATCCTCTAGTTTGTATGATGCGAGCTTCACGGCTCTCTCACTAGAACATCCAAGAGCACGTAATGCCTTGAGTGTCCCATCCAAGAAACTTTGAGGATCTGCTGAATTATCGGAACCTATAAATTTTGGTGATTTCAATTTCAGGAACTCGTGTAGGGACACTTCCTTATTCCCGAAAGACTGAGTCTGTGTAGGTGCTTGTGTCTGTAAAGTAGCCTGAGGAGCTGAACTTCTACCCTGAGCAGGCACCAATGCCTCTAACACATTCAATAACCTCGCCACTGCATCTGCAGGTAAGGCAACAGTAGGTACAACAGTTGGCACTGGTGGTGGAGCGTTCTGAACTCCCTGCTCTTGCACTTGATCTGGCATAACAGCTTGGGTTTGACCCATGTTCCCAACTTGAGGTTGAGGGGCAGTCTGTCTTCTAGTTTGATGAACCCCAACTTGACCGCCACCACATACAGCACCACGTCCAGCAGATGAGGGTGTGCGTGTCTTAGCCATCTGCGAAAGAAATATTCCAAAGTCAATCTCAAGTTATCTCAACGCACGATCAAAGAATGAAAGAAGGGAAAACATTCCTAAATGTTCAGTAGCCTCGAGATCATAAGTATGGGCGCCTATATACCCATGAACAGGACTCTACTAAACATTGCTCCATGACTCTGGACTTAAATCCTAAGCTCTGATACCAACTTTTTCACGACCCAATTTAGGATTATGACCGGCGCTTAGGAGCAAGTGCTCCCAAGTAAGCCTCATCGGTAATTTTACAGAAAATCGGACAGAGTTTCCCCTGTTTTTGGACTATCCCAAAAATTTTCCTATATCAAATCGACAACCAAACATCCTAATATCATACCAAACAATTGACAACTTGTCAATTAACCAATACAAGTCTCCACCATAACTAAACCACCAACTAACCACTAGAAATACTAATTTATCTCCAACTTTGATAAATGACAACGATACTCAACATAAGACTATAATAACAAAAGAATACTCATGACACTAAAATAATAACTATGGAGCGACTCTAAGAGTTCAATGAAAAGACCATAATGATAAATAAAATCTCCGCCCACGGGAACAAGGGCGAGGCTCACCAAGAAATATCAACCTGTGCTCTAATTAACGAAATCCCTGTGTGCGTCAACTGCTGTCTCTGTAAAAAAAAAATTAGCGGGGAATGAGTCGCTAGCTCAGTGAGTAATAACACTTAACCACAACCATTTTTATTGGGGACAAGTCAGAAAACATGCTAGTATCTCAAACAGATAACATCAAAATGCCCTTTCAGAAACAATAAATAATTTTCAGTCTCATCATGTTTTTCTTGTAGTATAATACAATTAACAGTTCAGTAATGAGCTCGGTAACCACTGTATAATATCAATATTCATATTTGGGAGGTTTTAATGAACGGATCATGTAATCGGTATATTTGTGGACTTCTTCGTAAGAAGTCAAATATAATGGTAGTCCCTACTCGAGGGATGTCGGTAACGGTATGCTTGTTCTACCTTCCCACTAGCAAGGGCTATAACGGTAATCTGTAATTACAAGGTGCACCAGGTCTAAGGAACCCGCCGTTAGCTACGGGATCCTTCAATGTCTACTCCCATCTATACTTGTCTCTGTAATCCGTATATATACTCGTAGAAACTATTTTAAAACAATATAGGACATTTCGGTTCTTATCAAATCATATATTTCCTTTCGATAACAGTAAATTCAAGTAACGGTAAAACATATCTAGTGACAACGAAAATATTTAAAATCACGGTATTCATCTCAAATAACTATTTCGGTATCATATCGAGTAAAAGACTTGTCCCACATGCAATTAAAATAGTCGGTAACATATTCGTATTAAAAATCATGTGTAAATCATGCAAGTTATGAAAACACAAATTGCGGTAAGATTACTACTCACAAAACTCGTGCCGAAATGCCAAATGCTTCACCTCGAGCAATTCGTACAAATTCCTCCAATCAATCGGAAGTAAGATTTCAAGTGTTGGATTCAAAATAACGAAATTCTTTTAAAACCTAAAACCCTTCCCCAAAAATTATTTGCTACGAGAGGAAGACTATGCGGTATGCCGATTCCAAGCTGCTATTTATACATGTAAAACGAAAAAACCTAGGCATTTGATTCCTATTCAAATTGGGTCTCTTCGATTTCCATAGCATACATGGAAGTCATATGTAGCTTCCATAATTACCATCCTAATCCTAATTTAGGTAGAACACTAGACTCGGCGTACTTCTCCTTTCCACTTTCCTTTGTTCTTATTCTCTTTTATTTCCCCTTTTTTGTTTTGTTTCGTTTTGTGTCATTGTTTTTTTGTTTTTTTTCATAGTTAGTTTCTTATACTTATTATTAATATAGTAACTATTATTATTATCATTATTATTCTAATGACCAATATACCCTTATTAAAAATATAGGGTATTACATCATCCCCACCTTATGAAATTCGGTCCCCGAATTCAACTTAAGTACGTACCTGTAGACTGAAACAAATGGGGATACTTCGCTTGCATATCTTTTTCTATCTCCCAAGTAGCTTCTTCAACGGTATGATTTCTCCATAAAACTTTAACGAACACAATTTCTTTTTACCGTAGCTTTCTTACTTGTCTATCAACAATTGCCGTCGACTCCTCCTCGTAAGACAACTTCTCATCAAGCGGTATAGTTGGTGCTTCAAGCACCTGAGATGAGTCAGATATATATTTTCTTAGCATTGAGACATGAAACACTGGATGAATAAAGGATAACTTAGGAGGAAGTGCCAAACGATAAGCCACAACTCCCACTCGGTCCAGTATCTCATACGGTCCAATAAACCTGGGGCTCAAATTGCCTCTTTTCTCAAACCACATCACACCTTTCATAGGGGAGACTCGTAGGAACACTTTATCCCCAATTGTGAACACTAAATCTCTTCTTCTCTTATCAGCATAAGACTTTTGTCTACTTTGAGCTGTAAGCAATCTCTGTCTGATCAACTGGACCTTGTCCATAGCTTCTTGTACTAGGTCAGGTCCCAATAAATTAGTCTCACCAGCTTCAAACCATCCGATAAGAAAATGGCATCTTTTACCATACAATGCTTCGTACGGTGCCATTTGAATACTGGACTGGAAGCTATTGTTGTAAGCAAATTAAGCTAAAGGTAGATAAGCATCCCAACTACCTCCAAAATCAAGAATGCAAGCTCTTAACATATCCACCAAGATTTGTATAGTACGTTCAGAGTGCCCGTCTGTTTGTGGATGAAATGTAGTAATAAGATCTACTCGTGTACCTAATGCTTCTTGAAAAGATTTCCAAAAGCGTGAGGTAAATTGTGATCCTCTATTAGAGATGACGGATATTGGAACTCCGTGAATTCGGACAATTTCGTTCATAAATATCTGTGCATACCTGACTCTACCATATGTAGTCTTCACCGGCAAAAAGGGTGCTGATTTCGTCAGTCGATCTACAATCACCCATACCGAGTCATAACCTCTAAGGATTCGTGGTAGCCCGGTGACAAAATCCATAGTAATTCTTTCCCATTTCCACTCTGGAATCTCAATTTGTTGTAGTAGTCCTGCGGGTCGCTGATGCTCAGCCTTGACCTGCTGACAAGTCAAACAACTAGAAACAAAGTTAGCAACATCTTTCTTCATTCTTTCCCACCAATAAAATTGCTTCAGGTCATGGTACATCTTTGTGGATCCAGGATGTATAGTGTATTTAGAGTTGTGGGCTTCTTCAAGAATATCATGTCTCAACCCATCTACGTCTGCTACACATAGCCTGTCACCCATTCGAAGAACAGCATCACTTTCAACAATCATATCCTTGCTTTTACCAGCTAAGAACTCATCTCTGTATTTACATAATCGTTCATCCTCATATTGGGTGGCCTTAATGCGCTCAACTAATGAAGACTTAGCCTGAGCACAAGCCAACAATGCCTCTGAATTTCCGACACTAAATCTGATACCTGTATCTTCTAGTCTCTGAATAACTTTGGCCAAAAGTCTCTTTGCAGGGGCTATATATGCCAAACTCCCCATAGATTTTCTACTTAATGCATCAGCCACCACATTGGCTTTTCCAAGATGATTCAAAATAGAACAATCATAGTCTTTGAGTAGTTCCATCCAACGACGCTGCCGAAGATTTAGATCTCTCTACTGAAAGATATACTTCAGACTTTTATGGTCAGTATAAATCTCACAAGTTTCGCCGTATAGATAATGTCTCCAAATTTTTAGAGCAAATACCACTGCAGCCATCTCCAAATCATGTGTAGGATAGTTTTGCTCATGCTTTTTAAATTATCTCGAAGCATAAGCTATAACACAACCATTTTGCATGAGAACATATCCTAATCCCACCCTCGAGGCATCACAGAATACTGTAAATCCTCCAGAACCTGATGGTAAGGCTAATATTGGTGCAGTTGTCAAACATGTTTTGAGTTTTTGAACACATTCCTCCGTCCACTGAAACTTTGCATTTTTCTGTGTTAGCTTGGTCAACGCCGCTGCTATTCTGGAGAAATCCTGCACAAAACGCATGTTATAGCCTGCTAAGCCTAAAAAGCTGCGAATCTCTGTAGGAGTAGTAGGTCTGGGCCATTTTTGCACAGCTTTAGTCTTCTTAGGATCTACCATGATTCCATCTTTGGATACAACATGCCCCAAAAATGCTACCGAGTCTAGCCAGAATTCACACTTCCAGAACTTAGCATAAAGCCGATGTTCTCGCAATTTCTACAACACAGTCCTGAGATGATTCTCGTGTTCTCCTTGGCTACGAGAATATATCAGGATATCACCAATAAATACTATTACAAATCTATCCAGAAACAGCTTGAACACCCTATTCATTAAATCCATGAATGCAGCTGGAGCATTTGTCAGTCCGAAAGGCATTACACGGAACTCATAGTGCCCGTATCAAGTTCTGAAAGCAGTCTTAGAAATATCTTCATCTTTGATTCTAAGTTGATGATAACCAGAACGGAGGTCAATCTTTGTAATGTGGGCAGCTCCTTGTAACTGATCAAACATGTCATCGATACGAGGCAAAGGATATTTATTGTGTATTGTTATCTTGTTCAACTGCCTGTAGTCAATGCACAATCTCAGGGATCCGTCTTTCTTCTTTACAAACAATACTGGTGCACCCTAGTGATACACTAGGTCTAATAAAACCCTTATCTAACAAATCTTGTAACTGTTGCTTTAGCTCCCTCAACTCTGCTGGTGCCATTCGATATGGGGGTATCGATATGGGCTGTGTGTCAGGTAGCAAAAAAATACCAAAGTCTATTTCTTGTACTGAAGGCAATCCTAGTAAATCCTCCGGAAATACATCAGAAAATTCTCTCACTACTGGTACATTTTCTATACTAACTGTTTCCTTTCTTGTATCATTTACAATAGCTAAAAGACCCAAGCAACCTTTCTACAGAAGTCGTTGAGCCTTCATAAAAGATACAATTTTGCAAGTCTCTGGAACCTGACTCCCTCTTAGAATAAAACTGGGTTCATTTGGTATCTCAAACTTAACTATCTTTGCATGACAATCAACTATAGCATAGCAAGAAGATAACCAATCCATTCCCATCAGCATGTCAAAGTCAACCATATCAAGTACAATAAGGTCAGCTAGAGTACCTCTACCCTCTACCCGAATCTGACAAGCACGATACACGTATTCAGCTAACAAAGACTCTCCAACAGGAGTAGTAACTAGAAAAGGATCATTCAATAGCTCGGGCTGTCTACTAAATCTCAAAGCAAAGTACGAGGACACATAGGAGTGAGTAGATCCTGGATCAATCAACGCAAGTGCATCAAATGAACAGACAGAAAGAATACATGTAACCACTGCATTCGAGGCCTGAGCATCCTGTCTAGTAAATGCAAAAACTCTCGCCTGACCTCTACCAGCATTGCCTTGTCCTTGATTCACAATAGCACGATCTCCAGCACCTCGACCTCTATTTCATGTACCTTTAGCACCTGAAGTATTACAAGTTGTCTAAGTCGGTGCAGCGACTGAATAGAAGCCTGGTTGAAATTTCCCGGAGGCTTTGGGCAATCCCTCAAGTGATGTCCCAACTGGCCACACCGAAAGCACTCTCCAGTTAGAACGACACTGGCCCAAATGTGATCTACCACAAGTCTGGCAGACTGGAGTAGTGGCATATATCTACCCAGAATTACGATGTCCAGAAGATGATAGTCCCCTATTACCTTGTCTGTAATGTGGTCTGTATGTGGACTGTGAAGACATGTGTGTCCCTGTCTGAGAACCCTGTTGTTGTTGTTGTTGTCCCTGATTTCCTGCTCTTCTATTTTCACTAAAACCACCACTGAAAGCCCCTCCTGTCTTGGCCTTCTTACGTAAATCACTTGATGCACGCTCCTCACGTCCCTTGTTTTCAATCTTTCTAGCAAGGTCAACTACATCAGAGTAGGATAAAGTCTTCATCTGTGGGGCTACTGCAGTGTATAGACGACCAACCAATCCATCAACAAACCTCTGAACTCGAGCTTCTTCGGTAGGCACTAAGTAAGGAGCATATATAGCCAGCTTACAAAACTTAGTGTTATATGTTGACACATCCATATCTGGAGTCTGAACTAATCTCTCAAAGTCTCTAGCATATTGTTGCATCAGACTGTCTGGAAGAAAATGATTCTTGAACAACTTAGTGAGCTGTCCCATGTCAGTGGTGGTGCTCCTGCTGGCCTTCCTAGCAATACCATTTTATACCATGTGTTGGCCATATCCTCTAGTTCGTAGGCTGCGAGCTCCACGATCTCTCACTAGAACATCCATGAGCACGTAATGCATTGAGTGTCCCATCCAAGAAGCTTTGAGGATCTGCTGAATTATCGGAACCTGTGAATTTTGGTGATTTCAATTTCAGGAACTCGTGTAGGGACACTTCCTTATTCCCGAAAGATTGAGTCTGTGTAGGTGCTTGTGTTCGTAAAGTAGCCTGAGGAGCTGAACTTCCGCCCTGAGTAGGCACCAATGCCTCTAACACATTCAATAACCTTGCCACTGCATCTGCAGGTAAGGCAACAGTAGGTACAACAGTTGGCACTGGTGGTGGAGCGTTCGGAACTCCCTGCTCTTGCACTTGATCTGGCATAACAGCTTGGGTTTGACCCATGTTCCCAACTTGAGGTTGAGGGGCAGTCTGTCTTCTAGTTTGATGAACCCCTACTTGACTGCCACCACGTCCAGCAGATGAGAGTGTGCGTGTCTTAGCTATCTGCGAAAGAAATATTCCAAAGCCAATCTCAAGTTATTTCAACGCACGATCAAAGAATGAAAGAAGGGAAAACATTCCTAAATGTTCAGTAGCCTCGAGATCATAAGTATGGGCGCCTACATACCCATGAACAAGACTCTACTAAACATTGCTCCATGACTCGGGACTTAAAACCTAAGCTCTGATACCAACTTTGGCACGACCCAATTTAGAATTGTCACCGGCGCTTAGGAGCAAGTGCTCCCAAGTAAGCCTCATCGGTAATTTTACAGAAAATCGGACAGAGTTTCCCCTGTTTTTGGACCATCCCAAAAATTTTCCTGTCTCAAATCAACAACCAAACATCCTAATATCATACCAAACAATTTTCAACTTTTCAATTAACCAATACAAGTCTCCACCATAACTAAACCACCAAATAACTACTAGAAATACTAATTTATCTCCAACTTCGATAAATGAGAACGATACTCAACATAAGACTATAATAACAAAAGAATAGTCATGACACTAAAATAATAACTATGGAGTGACTCTAAGAGTTTAATGAAAAGACCATAACAATAAATAAAATTTCCGCCCACGCGAACAAGTGCGAGGCTCACCAACAAATATCAACTTGTGCACTCTAATTAACGAAATCCTCGCCTACGTCAACTGCTATCTCTGTAAAAAAAAATTAGCGGGGAATTAGTCGCTAGCTCAGTGAGTAATAACATTTAACCACCTGCTGATGGAAGCCTTTCTCCATAAAGTATGCCAACCGTTTTTATTGGGGACAAGTCAGAAAACATGTTAGTATCTCAAACAGATAACATCAAAATGCCATTTCAGAAACAATAAATAATTTTCAGTCTCATCATGCTTTTCTTGTAGTATAATACAATTAACAGTTTGGTAATGAGCTCGGTAACCACTGTATAATATCAATATTCACATTTGGAAGGTTTCAATGAACGGATCATGTAATCGGTATAACTGTGGACTTCTTCGCAAGAAGTCAAATATAACGGTAGTCCCTACTCGAGGGAAGTCGGTAACGGTATGCTAGTTCTACCTTCCCACTAGCGAGGGCTATAACGGTAATCTGTAATTACAAGGTGCACCAGGTTTAACGAACCCGCCGTTAGCTGCGGGATCCTTCAATGTCTACTCCCATTTATACTTGTCTCTGTAATCTGTATATATACTCATAGAAACTAGTTTAAAACAATATAGGGCATTTCGGTTCTTATCTAATCATATAATTTCCTTTCGATAACAGTAAATTCAAGTAACGATAAAACAGATCTAGTGACAATGAAAATATTTAAAACCACGGTATTCATCTCAAATAACTATTTCGGTATCATATCGAGTAAAAGACTTGTCCCACATGCAACTCAAAATTGTCGGTAACATATTCGTATTGAAAATCATGTGTAAATCATGCAAATTATGAAAACACAAATTGCGGTAAGATTATTACTCACAGTACTCGTGCCGAAATGCCAAATGCTTCACCTTGAGCAATTCGTACAAATTCCTCCAATCAATCGGAAGTAAGATTTCAAGTGTTGGCTTCAAAATAACGAAATGCTTTTAAAGCCTAAAACCCTTCTCCAAAAATTATTTGCTGCGAGAGGAAGACTATGCGGTATGCCGATACCAAGCTGGTATTTATACATGTAAAAAGAAAAAACTTAAGCATTTGATTCTTATTCATATTGCGTCTCTTTGGTTTCCATAGCAGACATGGAAGTCATATGTAGCTTCCATATTTACCATCCTAATCCTAATTTAGGTAGAACACTAGAGTCGGCGTACTTCTCCTTTCCACTTTCCTTTGTTCTTGTTCTCTTTTATTTTCCCTTTTCTATTTTGTTTCGTTTTGTGTCATTTTTTTTATTTTTTTTCATAGTTAGTTTCTTATACTTATTATTAATATAATAATAATAATTATTGTTATTGTTATTATTCTAATGACCAATACACCCTTATTAAAAATATAGGGTATTACACCATTCTTTATCATCCGGGCAAGGAGAACGTGGTCGCGGATGCCTTAAGCGGGAAAGCAGAGAGTATGGGTAGCTTAGCATTCATTCCAGCAGAGGAGAGACCACTAGCTTGGGACATTCAGTCCTTGGCTAACAGACTAGTGAGGTTGGATATTTCGGAGCCCGGTTGGGTTCTTGCGTGTATGGTGGCTCAGTCTTCATTGTTGGGGGAGATAAAGGCCCGGTAGTTCGATGATCCACATCTGGCAGTCCTCAGAGAGAGGTTGCTTCAGGGTGGCGCCAAGAAGGTTTCTATTGGCGAGGATGGTATTTTGCGGCTCCAGGGTCGTCTATGTGTTCCTAATGTTGATGGCCTGAGAGAGAGGATACTAGAGGAGGC